TAGTCTAAGTATCAATATGCATATATTCAAGTTTTGAAGGATGATACTATAAACACTCTTGGATATAGAATAAATTTAAGATAAGAAAAAAAATATGATAGTATAAAATAACTTTGATACGCACAAATCATTTTTCCAATTCTCATATAATATGAAAAAATATAAGTAAAAACACTTTAAAGCACTTGTTCTATAGTCATAGTTAACTATTATATATATATATATATATGAAAACAATTAGGCATAATTATATAGTTAACTTTTCTATATTTGTCATCATCAAAACTTAAACTACATATAATATCATAAGTCGTTATGTCCAACAGGAAGTTTAAGTTTAGGTTCCGAGTTTTAAGCCTTCTGGTGGTGTAAGAGAGGGATTTTTTTTATTTTAATTTTGCCTTTGTTTGGCTAAAATTACTATAAATAATATTCATGTTATTTAAACTTCTATCGTGTCAACCATAAATAGTATTCATATTATTTTGGACTCTTTTAAGTATAACAAAATTTTACCAATAAATTTCATCATAAATTTATTAAGAAATCATCTAAACATCATACTCATCTAATTCATAAGCAATATTACTCTTGCTCTTTCTCTTATATCCTTTTCTTTATTTTACTCACTTTCTCTTCCTCCACCTTCCACCACCAATGACCATTTTAACTCATTTAAGATGCTTAGAATATCTTATTATAAACATTAAAGAATAATAAAGCTTAATCCCTCTTCACCCAATTTATGCATATTATGAACACATAATTGATTCTAAACTTTAGAAGATCATAACATGAGCTAGGAACATCTAATTGTAGAAATTAGAATTCTTTGGAAAGCTATATTCATGTACTATCTATTGTTAAAATTTCAAAGTCATTGGAGTCCATTTAGCCAAGGAAATTTATAAAATATCTGATCTGATACAAAGGATGTAGAACTGTTTCATTACAGCTTTTCAAACCAAATTCAAAAGTTTATAAAATATTATATAGAGTTCTAAAAATTACCATATTTGGATGAACAAAACTTCTACATGTCCTATAAGTTCTTGCTAAATTTCAGATCAAAATTCAATCTTTAAGACCATCAAGTGCAGACATTTGTTTTACTGCTCATTTAGTTCTGTTTTGAAGGCTCAAATGCTTGAACTTGTATTCTCTTGCAATTCTTTAATGCAAAGATATTTCTAACCATTCATACAAGATATAAATCTGATTCCTTATTTAAGATTGGCCTTATAACTTAAAATGACCACTTGAATGACATTAACATACATTAAGTCCATAATGCAAACTAAACCATATTAGCTACTGTGTTCCACTTTAAGCCATAATTCAAGTTTCTCATCACTTGGATTTCAAATCTTATTCATATATGACCTATTTAACCTCCAAAAAAATCATTTGAATCTCATTATAAATCAAGAGTTTAAATTTCTACACTTTGTTCACCATGCTCCCTTTTTTTGCCTAGAATTTGGCCTTCAACAACAGAATCTTCTCATCAAACTAATAACTTAACTAATCTATATAATTCTTAACTAACCCTTGTTTATTATTAAATTCATCAAACAACCTTATAGGAATTCATCAAGAAATCCTTACTTTCAACCGGTAATATAGAAGATTTATACACTTCATAACTTTCACTAATAAAACTAACTACAATTGAAAAGATTCTTGAGCTTGGTTGGGTCCAATCCAAAACTTTTATATTAAAAAAAATGCTAGATAAAAGAATGAATAGAACTAGGATCAAAGAGCACATGAACCTTATAAGAACAATCTATAATCATACTTGTGACTAAAATACTACAAATTTAAGCTTCTTGTCGAGCCAACACATGAATACCCCCACACAGGGCCCCTTTCCCTTGTTTGAAATTGTGAAACATTGGGCACCTCCTTTTTAAGGAAGGGATTTAGTCTTGTAAGCAATGCACTTTTAGCCAAGTGTATCCTCAAGATAGACTCTTGCGAGCTGGATAAGGTGGATGAGAGGCATAAGGATGGTCAAGGATGGCACCACCTATTATATGATTATTTTTAATATACTTTTGACTTGTAATAATAGTATTCCCTTTTAAGAACTCATTTATGAACTAGTTTTCCAAAATATATTATTTATATAAATACATGTTGTGAAATGAGATTTTGAATTGGTGTGTTAGTATATCAGAATTTTCATTTATTACTAAGATGATAGATCTCATTTGTTACCCTTTACAATTTTCAAGTGAGGGTTTCGACAAGTCACAAGGGAAGACATTCGAGAATTGAGTAATGATTCAATTATCTTGTAGGTATCGCACATGTATGTTCAGTTTACACTTTATATATCGACATGACATAGGAATGTATATTTAAGTTACTTTTTTATTCATTTTCAAACATTTAATAAATTATGGTAAATTGGGTCCTCCGAAATTATTTTAGAGAGTTAATTTTATTTGATTTTAAGGTGAGCCTTGTTCTTTTTATTAAAGTTTCTTTTTTTTTGTTTTATTTATGAAAAAAATTATTGTAGGCTTGAAAGCTAGTGTCTAATTGGCAAGTTTTTATTATTAATATATGATAATTATTTGTTCATAATAATAAGGGTGTTACAACATGCCACAAAAAGTAATACTTTGGGTTCTTTATGGATCAAATGTGAACAATTGATATTTATTATTTTAATTTTGACCAATAATTTTGATGGTTAATTTATTCAAAAATTATAGAAAAGGACATAAAAATTGAAAAAAAAAAGATTCAAAAATTACAAATAAAAATCCTATAAAAATGATATTGATTGAATTATCTAAATTACAATAATTACCAAGAGACAAATATTATTTCTTATTATGTAAAAGACTAAATTAAAATACCATTTTGGTCAACTATTTTGACAGGCCACCTGATGTTCACTTTAATATTTATTTTAATAATATCTTATTAAAATATTAACACTTTAATATTTAATATTTTTTATTAGTGTTGTTGCCAGCAGTAATTCCACCTAGTAGTTGGTCAAAGTAGCTTGTCAAACTAGTATTTTAGTCTTTTGTATGTGTAAGAAATATCATTAGTGTTTTGAAATTTATTTATAATTTAAGGGACGTAATTAATATCAATTTTCTTATAGGGTTCTTTAATATAATTTTTTAGGTCTTTTCTTATAATTGTTTAAGTCAACTAACAATTAAACTTAACATTTTAATAGTAATAACAAAATTTCACCATTTGTTGAAGGGAATATTATACTACTAAAAATTTAGAATACCCTACACTCTTGCGTGAATAATTGAAGAGCAAAAGTAATCTTTAACCAAAAATTATAATAAGAATAGGAAAGGCAGAGAATAAAGTTTTTCTTTTTTTATGTTATTAACATTTTTTTTCATTACTCTTTTCTCCGAACCGTAGTGGTGCGTTGTTGCTAATTGTGTAATATCGTCTGAAGTTATAATCTATAATACCATCTCTATTTTTTATTTATAAGTCTTTTTCAACATATTTTACTAGAATTAAAAAATATCTTAAAACTCATAAACTTTCTCTAAAGATTTAATAAATTGCCAACTTTGTTCCTCTTAAATACACATACCTTAATAACATATTTTCTTTCACCCGAAATTTAATGGAAGATAAAAGAAAAAACTTGTAATGAAAATGTAATGATATGCACGTATTTATAAATAAAACTAAAATATCATTTTCTCTCTTTACTTGGAAGGAATATTTCTTTTAATGTGAAGTGAGAAAAGGAGAAGCATGATGGAACTCTCTTAGGGCTCATTTGGTTCACTTGAAGCATTTCAAAAGAAATGGAATTGGAAAATGATTTGGAAATGAAATTAGAAATGGAATTGGAAAATGTTATGAGAAGCATGTTTGGTGGACTAGGAAAATATAATGGAATCTTAAAACAATTTTTATTTAACAAAATATTAAAAATAATAAAAGACAATATTATTACCCTTTTCTTCTAATAGCCTTGTCTCTTTCATCATCTCTCATCAGTTTTACAGATCCAATCCACATAAATCAAGCATAAATCATCATTAGTTTTACTGAGATGATGATTGGCGACACCATTGAGGTTAGGGATGACAGCAAGGTTGGGGACATTCAATAGAGGACGATGTTTGACGGGCGATTGCAAGGAGGATCACCTTCAATGGCTTGGCTCCGATGACCCAAATTTACAGGTAGGAGGAGCAGCTTCTATAACTGATCTCTTTGCCAAATACAAGGAGTTGCTTCCATGGTTGAATCACACTGTCGAAGAAGAACACAGTAATGGAGAGAAGAGAGAACAGTGCAAAGGTCAACAGAGGAGGGTGGAGCCAATGCTAGAAATTTGAAGGAGACGATGTTGAAGATCTGAAGGAGGCGACAGTAGTATATGAAAATGTGAAGGAGATGATGCACATGGTTCACCAAGGAGATTTAAAAAAAAGTGAAGGACATTTTGGTCAGAAAAAATAATTTCCTAGGAAAATTATATTTTCCATGGGTTCATCCCAGGAAATTAATTTCCACTCTCTTCCTTGAAAATCATTTCTCAAGAATTCAATTTGATGTTAACCAAACTTAAGAAAATGTGAAATTTCATTCTCTTTCCTTTTCCGGAGTCAAAATTCCATTGAACCAAACGGGTCTTAGTGATCAATCATCAACACTCCCCTCCCCCCCCCTTTTGGCATAAAATTTGCATAACCTACATCCAGCATTTTCACTATATGCATTAGGTCTCATGAATTTCTTTATTTCTTTCTTTCTTTGCTTTTACCAAATACTTCTTTCCCCTATTTTGAACATTACACGAAACAAACGAAATTGGACACAATTTCTTAGGTATACTATTTCAACAATATCAAACATACAAAGCAATTAACTGGCAAGCTCAATGCATGCATGTTGGATATGTGAAATAATATCCAATTTGTACATACAATAACAACAACAACCAGTCCCAAGCCCGGGTAAAGGAGAAAAGTTGTGTTAAGCCCTTAACAACTAATGTAAAACTTTATTGAATCTCACATAGATATTGACAAAATGCAATCTTTATATGTTTTGAAATAAATCCAATACAGTCATAAAAGCATAAAAATATTACAAATACAAAGTAAAACAAGCATCACCAATATTAGCAGGTGAGAAAACAGCATTACTTAGGATGTGCGAAATCCCTTATAATTTTAACGAAGTTTGTGATTGCAAAAACAACGACAATAATGGCCGCTACTGTTGCGGTGCCTCTCCAGAGGTCCGGGAAGTATACTGAAGATAACAAGGCAAGAGTTTTGTTATATTGGCTGTCGTAGTGCGTATTCAATCTGTTTGAAACTGTGCCATAGCATGTGGAATTCAGAACAGTGTTTTTGCAAAGAATATTGATCAGCTGTGCCAACTCTTTGTCGCTCCCCAGATCATGACTAATAACTTTGTCCTCAACCATCACATCTACATCTTCTTTACTGTGAATGAGATAACCAATGAGAGCAACATAACTGGAAACATAATGATGCTTAGGGTAGGAATATTGTTCAAAGACCATGAGGTTTCGTAGGACAGATTCTGTGGAGTAGTCAACCCTCAATTCTGGAATTAGCAAACGAGCTTTGAGCCTCTTTTGCAAGAAGCCAAAGCAACTAAACCGATTCCAATATTCCCTTTTCTCGAACTTGACATCTAGCAAACATGTGTTTGAAGCTTTCTCAAAAGTTATCCCTACCCCTTTCAACTTTGTCGCAGTCTTTATGATGGGAAGACGATCATTCTCATCTGGGGTCAAATCCTGCACCAAATCCTGCGGAATCATAAAAAATCTAATTAAATCAGTGAAATGTTTTGGTTTGTCCCAGTGTTGCTTCAGCAAATTACTGTCATTGATTTTGCCCACTGACTTATCAGCATAAGGATCATAAATTTCAAAGTAGTGTCGAGCAAGTTCAAGAAAACTCAGACAGGCCAATTCATTCTTTCGATTGGTGGGTACAACCTGATCATATAATGTATTCAAGCGATCAAATGGAATTTGATTTTCAAGTAATATCAAATCTCTCTCGATGATCTTACTAATCGTAGAATTCTTAAATAGGAAATCACGATCAAGTTCTCCTTCCTTCTTTCTCAAGAAAAGCTCCATGATGAAAACAGCATCCAACAGCATCATGCGCACAAACCTTTTTGTCTCAAAATGAGTGTATTTTTCTGAGTAACACTTTCTTATTTGTTCTTCTTCCTCTTCAAGCCTAGCAGTGTATGATTCTAAATTCTGTCTGTCCTCATCTGAAGATAGTTTATCACGAAAATATCTGAAATACAAGTATTTTTGTTGTTCCATTGGCTCCAATTTTGGATTTTTATGATGAATTGGGCCAATTGAAATCAAATGAGGAGTGAAGGCACCTTTGTTTTGCTCCCTGAGATCTTCAGAAATCTTATAAATACAACAATCTTGAGACAAATTCGTCACACTTGATTCATTGAGGATGTCCAAAATTATGTACTCGGAAGTACCATCCATTGAGTCGTGTTAGCAAAATTTTGATGATTCTGCATAATCATAGACATTGTGCTTTTTTCTGGTAAGTAATATTTTGTATTTAGTTGATAGCATTAATTGACTAAGCTTTTGTTGACACACAAAAATGTTATTCAAACTAATATATTAAACATGGATGCATGCATAAAATCATAGCATGATAAAATGAGTGAAAGTTAAAAAAAGTTAGAACATCGACTAACGAAACATAAATATGCAAACCTCGGAAGAAACGTACTTGTACTTTTGCTCTTGTTGAAGCTGAAGTGCCAGGCTCCTCTGCACCAGCAATTCATCTTCTACTTCACTCCGACACCTAACACGTATAAATTGAGTTCAATTACTAATTTTCAACTAAATTATTAGGTTGTTCGATTGTTTTTTTCCCCCAACTTGTCCTTAAAGGGTCTAATTTGTCTGCATCGAGGATCTGAAAGCAACATGCCAATGATCGTTAATTTAAACGAGTCAATATGTCTTGTTATCTGGACTTACAAGTTTTATAATGATTACCATATTATCATTCATGTTCTTGTTATCTGGACTTATAAGTTTTATAATGAAATATCATATTATCATTCATGTTTGAAAGAAATAAGAATAGTTGAAGAAAGAATATTCTAGGAAGGTACAACGAGGAGTTACTGAGTCCCCATCTGAAGGTTTATATAGAACAAAATGAGATATCCAAATAAAATATCAAATTAATCTACAATAATTATAATAAATGTGATCGCTTAGTCTGAACAAAATAAGAAATTACAATAAATGAAACTAATAAATCAATTATAGTTGGATCATTTTAAAACCCTCCCACAAAAATCAGTTGCTTGGCAGTGACAACAACAATAGTAAGAGCAAACATCAACTTTTGTATGACAAGGAGGTTTCAAAGAGAGAAAATATAAACAAACCATGTGCATAAATCATAAATCATTAATAAACAAAAGCTTGAAATCATTTTTGTAGAAGATGAATCCATTGGCAAACAACTTTGAAGTGATTCTTAGGATGAATCCCTCTAAACAGAAAACCAATATTCCCGGGCTGATAACAAAAATTCAAAAGTGATTCTCAAAAATGAATCACTAGACAAAAACTTGAAGGTGAAAACTCATGAGTGATACTTGAAGAAATGAATTACTGGACAAAAAAACTCCAAGATGATTCTTGAACAAATAAATCACTAGACGAAAAATCAAGGGTGATTTTCAAAATAATGGAACACTAGGCAAAGTTGACTTCGAAGTGATTCTTGGATAAATGAACTATCAGGCAAAAAAAAAACCAAGAGTGATTCTTGCATAAATAAATCACTAAGCGAATTTCACAAGGTGAACCAATAATGTTAGAACCAATAGAAACATATCAAAATATTGAAAGCAAAATAAAGAGGGAGGGCTAGAGGCTAGATTTTTAGAAAGCTCAAGCCCAAACAAACTATCAAAACTTCATTAACTACTTAAGGTTCTGATACCATGAAAGAAATAAGCATAGTCAAAGAGAGAATATTCTACAATATTAATCACCATTTGAGGTTTTATATAAAACAAAGTGAGATATACTAATAAATATCAAATCAATGTAAGATTATTTTATAAATGTGATTGGTTACAAAACAAGAAATTATAATAAATGGAAATTATAAATTAATTGAAATTAAATAACAGTTAACAGTCTTATTACAAGCAACTTTGAAATTATGTTGCCAATAGCTCTTAACTAGATTAAATGTATGTATAGTTTTCAAACATTGTAAAAAAATGTTTTAATAGCATATATTTTTAATAGAAGGAATTCAACATTATTTTAGGGTATATTTTCCCGTTATTTAGCCTTAGGATTTTGTACTTTGTATTCGGAGAGGATATTTGTATAATTTAGGTCCCTATTTCTTCCTTGAGAGGATATTTCAAACATTGTAAGTTCGCAGCAGTTGCGTATAAGGAATTGTAAGTTCTGGCAAAGGAAAAAAAGTAAAAAAAGAAAAAAGAATTGTGAGTTGGTTCAAGGGTAATGGATTTAGCTAAGTAATTCAAAAGATATTTCTTGGTAATTATCACTAGAACAACAACAAAAAAGAACAATTCGTTAATTTGATTCTTACAATATTAGATTTCTATTGGGTGTGACAAGTGATATGAATTGTAATCCTAAAATGTTAGATTTTAGTTGCATACATGATAGGTGACATGGCATCACATGATATACATGTGGTAGAGTAATGTGGCATAAAATAAAGTATTATTTCTTAAAAAAAATTTTCGGTGGTGACAAATGTCGCCACTAAAATGTTAAAAGGGAGCATTGCACAAAAAATAAGTTTAAAATCCTTAACACTCTTGGACCTATAATTTAAGAGTTAATTTGCTTTTACCCAATATATAATAATTTATAAATTTTAAACTACATTCATATATAAGAATGAACATAGAGAGAGGGAGGAGGGTGGAAATGAAAAACATTCATGGATAGATTTCAGAATATTATTTTTTTCAAATGTCGTCATATTTGGAGAGAAAAATTAAAGGAAAATTTTTTATTCCCTAGATATAAAACAAAAAAAGTTGAAGGGAAAAACATGGGTCCACATGTTGTCTTCTCCTTGATTTCCTCTACCTTCCAGTTTTCTTTCCTTAAGTAAACAGAAAAAAGGAAAAAAAAAAGTGGTTTTACCTCTACTTTTCTCCTACACTTTTCTTCCCCTTTCACTTTTCTCTCCTACTAAACACAAGATGGGATCCTTCAATTTTCATGAAATTATAAATATATATAATGTTTTTAAAACATAATTTTTTTCTTTTTCTTAAAAAAAGTAAACTTCATGAAATTTACGAATTCTTAATTTTAGAATATCTATTCCCCAAATAGCTAGCATGCTAGCAAATCTGATCTAATATTGAATTGTAAGAAGGCTAATTAAAACAAATAAACGGTCAATTAGCCCTTACAATCAAGTACTAATAGTTTATTTTGTTTTAATAAAGTCCTTATAATTTGATCAATCAAATAAATTAGTCCCTAAGGTTAACATTCTTAATGAATGATTAACTTTTCAAAAATGAAAACACTCAAAATTTATAGAACAATTGATTTAAGGGAAAATTATGCATAGGTCATGTAGAGCAGACTTATTTGCAAATAAATCCTACAAAATTTAAAAACCCGGTTAGGTTCTTTAAGACTTGAGGGTAATTTGAAATTGAGGTATAAAGACAATACTACCCTTACTAGTAATTAAACAATTGTAACTATTAGATAGGTGTAGTTGAAGTGATATGTCAAGTTTAAAATTTAGATATATGCAGTTACAGTTGTAAAAAATTAAAATGATAGTTATAAATTACTGATGAAGTGATTTAATTAGTGTTAAAATTTGTTAGTTATAAATAATTAGTGTTAAACTGTATTGGTAACAAATGATCCGTTTAACTATTAGATATGTAAAGTTACAAATATAAAATATTGAAGTGATAGTTGTAAATTATTGATGAGGAAATTATATAAAATTAATGGTAAACTTTGTTAGTAAAGCATGATTGATTTAACTATTAGATCTATGTAAAGTTATAGTTGTAAAATGTTGAAGTGATAGTTGCAAAATTACTAATAAAGTAGTTGCATACAATTAGCATTAAAATTGTAACATGTGATCAATTTAACTATTGAACATGTGAAGTTACAGTTGTAAAAAGTTGAAGTGATTGTTGCAAATTATTGGTGGATTAGTTGTAAATTACTTGATTGGTGTAATGTATTTTTATAGGGATATTATTGTCTTTGCATCTAAATTTTAAATTACACTCAAGTCTCAAGAAATCTGACTATGCTTTTTGAATTTTGTAGGATTTGCTTGTAAATAAGTCTTCTCCACCTATACGTAATTTTCCCCTGATTTAATACTTTTAGCCAAAAAAGCAAAAAGAAAAATTATTTAATGCAATGTTTAATTTTTGACAAAAATTGTGTGTGTGTGTGTTATTTAAAAAAATAACCTAATTATATATATCTTCAATTCCAAATATCATCTAATTAATTCTAAAGTTATATAATATTTAATAACAAATTAAAATTCTTAATTTTATTTTTTGAAAGTAAAAATTAAAGAATTTAAACCCTTGGGGATTAACATATTTAATCAATCAAACCATAAGAGTGTAATGAAGATAAAATAAAATATAGAGACTTGATTTAAAATTGAGAAAAATTATAGGGACCTACAGATTAATTTTCTCATTATCTTTTGAATTATGTACTCCCTCCATCCCAAATTATAAAACACTTTTGGAGGAAATTTGTCATTTCAAATATAAGACTTTTTGAGAAGATTAATATTTTATTAAATAGGTTTATTCTAATAGTACTCTTTCTCTCTTATTTAATATTAATTAGGTGTGGATTTAAGGTTATTAAATGAAGGGTATTTTTAAAAGTTTATATTTTTGTTTTGAAAAAATAGGTTTGTTGAGTGTATTTAATGATAGTTATTTGTATATGAGATTTTATGTAAAATATTTTATAATTTGAGAGAGAGAAAGTACTTAATTGATGGACCAAAAAAAAATGTCATTACGTACTTAATTAAACGCATTAATTCCCTTTTGAACCAACTCAGTTACTTTTGCAATAATTATGGTTCTATATGCCAATATCGATCCACTGAACTTTTTCTCTCCCTATGTGTCTGCGAAAGAAAAAGATAATTCTGATATTCCCACAAACTAATTTAATCAATTATGCATTCGGGGGACGGACAGATCATTTTCATCAAAGTTTAGGAGCCCGCTCTCGGAGAAATGCAAACCTAAATTATAGATATATTCTTTTTGAAAATAACTATGATAAAATTAATTTATAAGTCTTTATAATTTTCACAATTTTAAATTGAATCCCTATAATTTATTTTTGTTTTACTTCATTCCTTATAATTTGATTCACTAAATATGTTAGTCTTTGAATGTTTAAAATTATTAATGAATAATTAAATTTTCGAAAACAAAAGCATGACTTTTGAAGTTTATAGAAATTTTAATTGATTACTTATGGCCAAAAGAAAAACAATTGGTTTAATACAATGTTTACATTTTTTTTTGTTAATTTTTTATGAAAACTCTAAATGTATAAAAATTATTTAGAAGACATAATTTAATTATATATATTTTGAGTTATAAAAATATGTAATTAATTATAAAATTATATAATGTTTAATAAAAGTAAAAAGTTCTTAATTATTTTTTAAAAAAAATCAAGGATTTTAATTTTGAATGATTAACAAATCTAACAGATTAAATTGGAACGGTCTGATTAAAATAAAAACTTAATTTTCTCTGTAACTACATTAAAAAC